TAAGGTTAATTCGGTGAATGAATCTTGTTATTTGTTGTCAGGAGAGTGACATATTGATCGAGCTGAACTGGTTTAACTTACGTTTGCAAATCTTGATGGTTTAGTATTTGTTTGGTGTAGCAGGGAAGAGATTCTGTGCATATGTCAAGTTTGTTTCCAGCATTTGGACATTTGCAAAATCACTCGTCACTCCGTCCAACGCCACCACCTCCACAACCTCCTCACCAGGTACGTCCAACACTAACATTTCATAGTGACCAAGTTGCCCTCGCTATTTCAAAGATGCTCTCTTTATTGAGAGAGACTTCTCTACATTCGGTGCGCCACCGTGACAATTCCAAACCAATAACGCGATGTTAGGTCATTGCGTTATTCGTTCAGAATGCAACAGTGACCTACCGGGAGTAGGTAAAGTCCTTTTGTTATGTTCCCCAAGGCCAAATAGTAAGATTGTCATAACTACTTGAACTTGAAATGTGTTATTCATCGTCATGTGACATTTCAATTCAATAATTCAATGTTATCTGGCGAGAAACTTCACATGGTATTTTAGTATTAGATCGTTGTACCACGGTAGCTGTGAACCCGTTTATGTAAATATTGCTCCTTTAGAGGATGAGGGGTACCGTTGATAATATTATTGTAATCAAGGGCTTTGTTTCAGGCACATTAGTAGTAGGTAATGATGTGTACTGCACGTGCTTGAGGGAGAGTGGAGAGAATTGTTTAGTAGGACGTGTCCGACAGACAGAAGGCTCCATGGGGTTGTTCGAACGTGTAGATGAGTTCTGCCATTCCAGGGAAGAAATTTTTTAATGTGATGGGAACACGACGCGGTACATTATCTGTCATAATACAAATCGTTGGAAACTAAAAAATAAATTCTCCAACCATTTGTATTATGACACTTGGTATACTGACCTATGTTATCGTTACACTGAAAAATCTCTCGTCCGAATGACATTTTGGTCCTTTCGAGTTTCTCCAATTGCAATCTTTGTGGCTTTCTCGGTGGCCACGCGCCTCCTGGTGTGTGGGAACATGCGCTCCTGTTCTTCACACGGGGTTGGCTCCCACTAGTTTGACTTTGTCAATATGTTGACTTCTGGTGACTAGGGTTGATTCGGACTTGTACATATTTTGCTGCATAATTTGGGGAGTTTGTTTAATTTTTTCAATTAGTTTGACATGTCCTAGGTTATTTTCGTTTTTGGATGTTTCAGTGATGGCTTTTAGATTTGTCTAAAAAGTTAGTCAATTTGGCATGAATTGTTTGTGCCTAAAGAACTTCAAATAGTATATTGAAAATTATTCAAGATGTGAATTTTAAACAGTACATCGAAGACTTGTTCAACTATGAAAAGTTGAATGATTATTTTCTTTTTTGACATTAAGAACATATCTTGACTTGTTCAACTAAAAATTCAGTCATCCTCACCCACAAGCTGTTGCCAAGGATTTACGCAATGAGATGCCAAAACTTAGTTTCGTCGTGTAATTTAATGGACAATGTTTTCGTGTTTATCTCTTACTTGTAAAGCATATGATAGGGACGTTTAATAAGGATGTGAAATGACTTGTAAGATGGTGTTCTAAGTTGGTGTTCCACTATGGACTGTTGGGATTAATCTGATGGACTTCCATCAAATTAATCCCAACAGTCCATAGTTTCAATTGTCCAGCTGAATTTTGACATATCTGTACTCACATCAGATGATTAAGTATGCATTAGTTCAAACGTAACACATGTTGATAATTTATGGATTGACTTAATTTTGTTAATCTTGGTGCCGCAGTTTCATAGCCAACCACCACCAGGGCTGTCTAATGCTGTCCATCACCCTCCTTCCATCCGCCCAAGGGTTCGAGCAAGGCGAGGCCAAGCAACAGATCCCCACAGTATTGCTGAACGGGTAAGCTAAAATTCTTCTTCGTGGGAATGTTAGCATTAAGTTCATTCTCATTGAAGACGTCCAAGTCGCTTCTGCTTAACATGTAACATATAATTCAAGAAGTTACTCCAGCATGCATTTAGCCTATGCAATTTTGTTGAGACTGAAAAAGTCGTCTGCTATTCATTAGCGTCGAGGACTACACTAGTTTTATAATAACAAAGATCCCTTTTCTGAAAACACTTAAAAATTCATCCTGGCATCCAATCCGATGCCCTGCTTATCCAGTGCTATAGGTAATAATATACGTATACGTATTTATCTTCTTGGTACAGTTACGCCGGGAAAGAATTGCAGAGAGAATGAAGGCTTTGCAGGAATTGGTACCCAGTTGTAACAAGGTTAGTGCCTTAAAGCGAGTTTTAGTACCTTTTGCTGGATGAATTGCATTTCTTCTTGTTTCATCGTGTCGAATTTTATTGATGTTTGAAATTGCCTAGCTTTTGATACATACATTTTAAAAGTATTGACACGTTATGACATCGTTGTGCAGACAGATAGGGCAGCTATGCTTGACGAAATTGTGGATTACGTGAAATTTCTAAGGCTCCAAGTTAAGGTATATGAGTCAAAATTCAAATAGATTCATCATCTCAAAAAGAATAATTTTCGTATGTTTCAATTCCCTCCCCTTGGTTTTATCGGTTAGTATGTCCTAGGAGATGGGGTAATTTGGTACCTTCTTTTATTGCGTTTCTGTCGGAGGTTTCATTGCTTTTATATGTTCTGAAGTTGCTCTTCCATCAATGGCTTCTTCTTTCAGAAGTTGGTTGGTCTGTGGAGTATGTCAGTACTCCAAATTATTTCCATAACTCCCTAATTTTCACAAAAAAAAATATATATATATACTTCCTCATCTTTTAACAAAAAACCGTTTTCCACACGAAATTGTTAAAAGAGTTCTTCAAATTCATCGTTGCTTCGGAAACCTGTACGAAATGCTAAAGTCTTCAAAATGTTTTCACCATAAGGTAGGTCCCGGTGACTTGCTTTGTATGAACAAGTTATTTTTTTTTTCAAACGTGGAATGACTTTGTCTGCTTGGAACCTCTAGATTTCAACCAAGTCCTAATCAAACAGAAAAGGACACTAAGTGTACGACTTTCTTCTAATTTCAAAGTTAATCAACTTATTTTCTCGATACTTATTGATGTGATTTTGTTTTTATGGAAACAGGTTTTGAGCATGAGTCGACTCGGGGGAGCAGGCGCAGTGGCTCAGCTTGTTGCTGACGTACCCTTATCAGCAGTCGAGGTTATTCTCTGCACATTTTTTTTTAAATTGATCCAACTTATTATGGAGGCAGCATATTAGAATTCGCTGTTAGATGCATACAGTTTACCGCGTCAAATGTACATACGTTATGATTACAAAAGTTTCTCTAATACATAACTAGGCTTGATGAACAGTTTAAAACGCATTGATAAATTAGAGTAGTCTAAGTACTAATCCGCCCTTTCTGTCTCTCGTATGTTGACTATTTTTTTCGGTTTTTGCTTTAATCCTACCAAGGGGGAGGGCATGGAAGGAGGAACCAATCAACAAGCATGTGAGAAGTGGTCGAACGATGGCACAGAACAAGAAGTAGCTAAGCTGATGGAAGAAGATGTAGGAGCTGCCATGCAGTTCCTCCAGTCCAAGGCCCTCTGCATCATGCCCATATCCCTCGCCCCAGCAATTTTCCAAACACATCAACCAGACGCACCAACAATTGTGAAGCCGGAATCAAACTCCTCCTCATAAGCCTCTCCAACAAAGTATCAACTATCACATGGCCCCATCCACACCTCCCAGCACGCTTGTGGGCCCCACGTCCCGCCTTAGTAACCTTGTCACTCATGACAAAGGGTAAATTTATAGGTCGAAGTTCACTAAACTTTTTGAGTTTTGTCAAACAAGGGGCCGATTGTCATGCCATTGGAAACCCTAGGGGAGAATTTTTCAAAAGCAAAATTGATGTGTTCCCTCCTCCTCTTGTAACATCAATGGTGGGATTAGTTGAGTGAGTGTGACCTAAATACTTGGTGGTGGGAGCTTTTCAGTTTTCTTATATGGATAATGGGAGATGGGGCCAATCAAAAGGGATAGATGGGTTTGCATGATTGTATTTTCTGAAATTTTTATTTATTTTTAATGCAAGTTGAAAGTTGGATGATGGTTGGTTGTCTTGTAATGATATGTTGGAAGCTTCTGGCATTGCACTATTGCAGAAAAACATGGGTTTGAGTTTGTTGTTTCTCTAAAAGTGAGGTGAATACTTTTTTTTTTCAAATTTGATGAATAATTATTGAAGGGAAAGTTATTGGGGGAGAGGGATAGAAAATGACATCTTCTATAGAAAAGTAATAATACGAAAGTTCTACTAAGTGTGCCGATGTATGACATGGACCAGAACAATAATGTTTGAATGTATAGCCAATAATTCAATAAAAAAATTAAAGTTGAAAACTTTGGTGTATATCGTGCGTACTAAAAAAATTTCAAAAAGACGAATCATACTTGACCGGACATGGATTTTTTAGGTATTGAATTGAGTTTCTTTTTTATACAAAGCGGTGAGAGACACGAATGCAAAACTTTACGTGCAAAGAGTTTTAAGTGGATGAAATTTCGCATATATGTATGATGTATCAGGTTGGAAGTGTGCCACCGTCTTATAGCCAAGTTTGAATCATTGTCCCGGTATGATAAAGTAGTTTAGAATATCTTAGGATTCGTTTGGATGTGCTTTTAAAATGACTGAAAGAGCTTTTGGTGAGAATGTTTTTAGAACCAATCTTTAGTAAAGATGCAAGTAAATCCTAGAAAATCACTTAAAGTGCTTTCTGGAAGAAACACATAACTGGTGCTTCTTGCAAAAAGCACTTTAAGTGCTTTTGGAATCCAAAAATATTTTATCTAAAAACGCTTTTAATTATTTTAAAAACACATCTAAACGAGCTCTTATTGTCACAAAACATGAAGAAAAGGCAAAGTAACATGAGGGCCTCTTCACAAAATCAATTGGGCTTTAACCAAATTTGGACCCATTGGCCCATTTACCTTTAAGAAAATTTAGGGTTCTCTGGTTTTGATCAAAACAGGAAGCTTCAATCTCTCTAGGGTTTCAAAAGTTTCACCTTTGATGATTGGTAAGTGCTATTACAATTCACCATTTTCTTTGTAATTTCGATTAGCAGGTGTTGGGTTTTATCTTTGGTTTATTTTAGTGTATGATTCTGTTTATTTCATATCAGAAGATTATGGTAATTGTTTGCTTATTGGGGTTATGGAAGATTTAGGATTCTGAAATCTGGACTTGAAATTTTGAACTTTCTACCAAGAAATGAACTTTGTCTTCCGTCGGAGCTCGGACGCCAAATCTGCAAATTCCCGCTGCGACCCTTTGTCTTCCGTTATTCTACATCGTAAATTTTGAAATTTTCAGCCCGAAAACTGATGGAAAGTTGGAAACAATTTACCAGAGGAAAAAATCCGAAAAATTTGACTGAAAGATTTGATCTTTCTGTTGGGGATTATGGGAGTTTGATTGTTTGTGGAATATAATTGATGGTTTCTTTAAATGATGGAGAGTAGATTTGTTGGAATTTTTATCTATGCAGCAATGTGGGCGAGGCATTCGCTGCCTTTCGAGTTCGAGTTCAATGGGGAGGAGGATCCACTGGGATCCGACTGTTGCGCTCGAACTCAATCACCCGGCTCTTGTGTTGTTGGAGAAGTGCAGCACAAGGCACCATTTCAAGCAGATTTTGGGGCAGATGATGAGGACCTCTTTAATTGGTCAGACATTTCCCATGAGCCGGCTTCTCACATTCTCCGCCATCTCACACCCTGAAAATTTAGACATGGCCGTCCTCCTTTTCGATCACTTTACTCCGTATCCCAATCTTTACATTTATAATTCGATGATTTCTGCATTATCTTTCTCGAAAAGCCAAGCATTTGCTCTGTACAGTTCCATGCTCAAAGCTGGCATATACCCTGATAAACACACCCTTCTTTACTTGCTCCAAGCATCCGAATGTGTAGTGGAAGCAAAGCAGATCCACAGCCACGCTGTAGTTACAGGTTTGTCGTCACACCGGTACTTGCAGAACACCCTCATGAAGATATATCTGGAAAAAGGAGAGATGGGGCTTGCTCAACAGTTGTTTGATGACGTGCCAACGCCGGATACAGTCCCGTTCAATATCATGATCGTTGGTTATGCCAAGATGGGATATTTTTCGGAAGCTCTGCAACTGTTTTATGAAATGGTGGGTTTGGGTCTTGAGCCGGATGAGTTTACCATTCTAGGACTTCTTATATCTTGTGGACTATTAGGAGATGCTCGGCTTGGAATGTCTGTTCATGCATGGATTGAGAGGAAGAAGGCCATTACGTCTGGAAATTTGATTTTGGGTAATGCTCTTTTAGACATGTATGTGAAATGGAACAAATTGGAGGTTGCCCAAAGTCTTTTTGATGCTTTAGCGGAGAAGGATATCGTGTCCTGGAACACCATGGCTGCAGGATATGCCAAGGTTGGGAAAATAGAACTTGCGCGGAATTATTTTGAGCAAATGCCTAGAAGAGATCTTGTTTCTTGGAATTCATTAATTGCTGGATATGCCAAGAAGGGCGATTACACAATGGCGGTGAAGGTATTCAACGAAATGATTACAGAGAATGCAAAGCCTGACAGTATCACTCTGGTTAATTTGGTCTCTGCTGCAGCGGAAACTGGAGCGCTGGACCATGGAAGATCAATGCATGGCTTGATTGTGAGGATGCAGTTGAAAATAGATGTATTTTTGGGTTCGGCATTAATAGACATGTACTGCAAGGCCGGAAGCATTGAACGAGCCTTCATGGTTTTCCGGGGACTGACAGAGAAAGATGTTACCGTATGGACAACAATGATCTCTGGATTCGCATTCCATGGTTACGGGTGCAAAGCCCTGGATCTGTTTTCGGAGATGCAGGGAGGGCTATCTCCGAACGGGGTGACTCTTCTTGCTGTTCTTACAGCTTGTAGCCACAGCGGCCTTGTGGATGAAGGGCTTAATCTATTCAACAACATGGACAAAAAATTTGGTATTGAACCAGGAGTTGAGCACTATGGGTGTTTAGTGGACCTTTTATGTCGATCGGGAAGGCTGGCAGAGGCGAAAGAAGTGATAAAAAAGATGCCGGTAAGGCCAAGCCGAAACATTTGGGGAGCAATGCTGAGTGCTTGTAGAGCACAGGGAGACATGGAACTAGCCGAAACAGCTTCAGCAGAGCTACTCAAGTTAGAGCCGGGGAGAGAGGGCGGATACATTATGATGTCGAATATATACGCTGCTTGTGGAAAGTGGAGCTACTCGGATAAGATTCGAGAAGTAATGGAGATCAGGGGAGTGAAGAAGGCCGCAGGTTGCAGTAGCGTGAACGTCGACGGAGTTGTCCACAACTTTGTTGCCGCCGATAAGCGGCATCCGAGATGGGAAGAAATCTTCCTTGTTTTGCAGTGCATGAAAAGTGAAATGAAGCTGGCTGCTGGTTTCCGATTTGATCCATTTGTATAATCTTGGAAAATTGGCTAAATTGCTCGGGAATCAAATCCACGTTGTTAAGGTCTTGTTTGGAATGCTTTTGAAATGGCTGAAAGCATTATTAGTGAAAATGTTTTTTGAACCGATCTTTAATAAAAAATGCAAGTAAAACCTGGAAAATTAGAGCTTTCTACGAGAAATACATAACTAGTGCTTCTTGTAGGAAGCATTTCAAGTGTTTTTGGAATCCAAAAATATTTTTACCAAAAACGCTTTCAAGTATTTTCAAACAAATCCTAAATTGATCGAATCAAATAGCAGTGACATATTAGGGCTTTTTTTTTCTTTTTAGGTACCACACTCAGAAGGGTAGGACTAATTCCCAGGACTAGTCAACTGACACATTTCCTTCTAAATATATTTTCACCGAAAATGCTTTCAGTCACTTTAAAACACTTCCAAATGAGCCGTCAATAGACAAAAAGTTAATCGGTAAGAATTGAGATTGAAAATGTAATCGTTCTCGTGAAAATTTATCTATAATATTCATTGTCAGGAATGAGATTCACTTACTCGAGTAGACTAGCGGACGGTAAAACTGCAAAAATTGTAAACATAAAAATTTTCCAATCTTTTGAACAGTTACTTAAGAAATGACCCACTTCAGGAAACAAAAAGTTTACAAAGTATAACCAATTAAAGCCAGATTTGTACAACAGTTGACAGAAAATGTCCAAAAATATGTTACATCCTACCACTACAAGTTTCTCCTCCTGCAGTAAACTGAGAGAACCGAAAAACGGAACACTAGCCACGGTCAATCTGCGCAAAACTCATCGAGATTTAGTCCCGAATGAAGTGGTTCAAAAGTATCTATCTCTGAGCGACGCGACTGATCATGTTGCCATGGAGGTTGCACTAACCGCGCTACCGTCCCTCAACCCTTGAAGCCATATGTGCAGTGTCCTTTGCACATAGTCAGCTACGATTCTTAACCTTCCTTGACCACTGTCTACTCCTGAGCTACCATGATGTTCCACAGTTCGAGCAACCTTGTGTTTGCACTTCTCCCAGTCATCAGCGCGCAACCAGCAAGCTCGACCTCCATGGCTTCCTTCCATACCGAGAAAGGACACGTTAGGATTTTCACCAAACGAATATCTCAACCTCACTGAGACACAGTATGGCAACCATGCAGCTCCACCAGCGGCATTTATATGAGGTATGTGAGCAGGATCAAGAACAAGAGTCAGTGCAAAATCAACCGAGTTATGAGGCCGATCATAATGAATATTGCTTTTGGCAACAGATGAATGATCCATACTCGAGCCAGCATGGTTTTCAAGGCATAATTCAATACGGGGTTTTTGAGCAGGTGCTATATCTCCCCCTTGTGCCAGGGCTAGTGCTTTTTTCCATGCTATTAATTTCAAGAATTCTCTTAAAACTGATATGGGTAAGGTGAGGAGAGTAATGAACGACGCGACACGAGAAGCATCGTAAGGCTCTGAAGCAACACGTCGACTGAAGTAGTCACATATTTCTCCTATTTCGGCTGTAGATAATTCCTCATTAGCAGTGTTTGTATTTGGCTGTTGCCCTTGTTGTTGCTGCTGCTGATGGAATCGTTTCACGCTCAGTACTTGAAGAAGAAGTTGAACTCTGTGAACACTTACTGCAAATACATAGCCACTGCAGAAACACAAGCAATCAGATCAAAGAACAAGTAGATAAGCCTGGAAGATTCAGCGAAAACTTGTACGGATAAACTGCACCCGAGGACTACCAATGTTAAAGGGTGAATATTATCATGTAATATAAGTAACATAATTAACTGAGTGATCGGGTACCAGTATTGAACATAAAATAGGGAAGTTTTCAATAAACATAAAATATCACAAATGTGTGTGTCCATCTTGTCCGGATGTTTTCCCTTTGCGTCGGCATAACTTATCCGCAACGATAAAAGGAGATGTAATCACATCATCGTAAGATTAAGAATAAGTACTCGAAAATAAAGTTTCTGAGATGTGTAAAGATTGGCCTGAAAAGCACTTACCCAACAAAGAATCTCAAGGCGGGCTGCTCCTGGTCTAAATTTAGAAGGGCACCTTCATTGTCTTTCAGAATTGACCCCAAAATCTCTTTCAAAAGATTTGGTAGCTGTGCGAATAGCCATAGAACTCCAAGATACTTGAGAATACCTCTTAGCACCTTTTTAAGAGCAACAAGAGGAACCCAACCACCTCCATACCCTCCGTCATCTCCAAGACCAATAATGGCTGTATTCAGTTCTCCTCTCACATGAGCAGCACCAGGACCTGGGGATCTTCGTAAAGCCGGCCCTGCTGAGCTCACAACAGCCAAATTTGAGGATACTGGAGAAGCATTTCCGACACGGTTTAAACCAGCCACTTGGTTGTTGCCTGTCCTAGACATTGCAGCAGAACTAGGAAGGTTAACCCTATTTCCATTTACAGTTGACAGTTGGGAACCTGAACTGGGGTTTTGATTGATTGAACTTGACAGTCCTGTCTGTTGACCACCGGTGAAATTAGTATCTAAACCATTCAATTCTTGGGCTACATGCTCCATAATAAATGGTCTAAACTGAGGGCAAGGTAATGACCCTCCAATTGAAGGCCCCCCATAGGGTGGCGTTGCTGGTTGCAACCAAACCTGATCTCCTGCAAAACAGCGCATGTCAACTGCGAAATTCTTTCGGTATATGATCCGTATCCAATAGGGTCCACGTAGCACAACAGAGACATCAATGGGCAACAGTGAGCTGGGTACAATGCCAGGTCCACCTCGGCCAGCACCAGCTAACCCAGCAGGCCCATGGAGGCTATGATTTGCAAGAGCCCCTGTAGCAGGAGATGAAACTGGGTTCCCCATAGGGCCAGGAGACTGACCAGCATTTGTGGTTGAACTAGTTGGCATAAGGCCCTGAGATGATAAGTACCCAGCCTGTTTTGGGATAGAAGAGAGAACTGCTCCACCAGGGACCCCCGGGATAGGACTAGCTCGTGCAGGTCGTGTTGCGGCTGCAAGAGCATGTAAGGGCCCTGCAGTGAGTCGAATGCAATCCAAAAGTGATGCAACTTCAGCTCCATTTATGAAATCTTCCAGAAACTGTAAAGAACAGAAAAGGTATTGTCATTAATGCAAACATTTTTAATCAGAAACAAATTGGTGGGAAACATGAAGTTATCTCTGTAATAATACATAAATCTAAATTGCTCGAATGCATGTCAAAAACTAGCTTTTGATGACTGCATTTTGATGTACTCCATAAAGCAACTTTGATAGAATTGTGCATGCAGTTTTAATATACCTTTTTTGCTGTCATGAAAAGCTTTTTAAGGCACCTAGAAAAATCCTAATCCAACATCAAAAGATAATTCCATGGAACCACCGCAAAATAGTTGAAAATTATATTTTTTGAAATTTCTCCAGAATTCTATTAAATTCATTAAAGATGGCACGTTCACGCACGACCTTTGAAGAAAACAAAATCAGAGGATGAATGCAGGACTCAATTTCACATAAGGTGAATCTTAATATAAAACATCACTTCACACCAAATAAGTATGCGCTCAATTGAAATGCTAAAAGAAACAAACCAGAAAAAATAAATTAGAAAATTGTGAATGTACCTTGGTATGGGGCCAAAGTTGGTCGGGGGATACATGCATAGTACAACCCTCTTTACCTGATTCCCACTCTACAACAAAGCGAGCAAGGACACCTGATCCAAAACTGAACCACAGACTCATAAGTCCAACAGCCTCAATTCTAAATGCCCTTCGCATTTGCTCAGATAGTCTATCGGTTGCCTCTTGAGAACCTTTGACTCCTGGTGATTTAAAATCAGGGTTTGTGCTACTTTCTTCTGGCTTATCATCTGCTCGTACACCAAGCAATTTCCGCATCCCAAGAGCAAACATTCTGGCATTAGAAAGTCTTTGGATGTCTGCCACTAACTTCTTAATACTATCAGCCTCCACAGACTGGTAACAAAGAACAACACCTTCTGGATCATAGCGAACATGAGAGTCTATGTCAGACGTATTGGCAATTCGAACACCAGTACCCCAAGGTGTACTATTGCTTCCTTTTTGAAGCTCCCATAAATCCCTGAAATGCTGGTCATTTATTTTGACATCCCAATAAATGCTTCCAGGTCTGCCAAGTCGCAAGCATAAGTGTTGCCATGAATCACCTCTGGCAAATGGAATTCGAAACCATATGTTTGATGATGTACTTCTTAGACCCACTTCTTCAACATAAGGGATGTCCAGAGCCGCCATCTGGCTAGTTAATCTGGCATGCTTAATACAAAGTGAACAGTGCCTGATCACATGAAGAAGGGCTGAAACATAAATGCTGGAAGGTGCATTTCCCCTGTTTGCTTCAGATATAAGATCCCCGTAATTGTATACTTCAAAATTTGAAATTATATCCCTCGACATAAGCACCTGTGAGGAAGACTGCTGAGGACGAGTTACTTCAGAAGTTTTCCTCTTTTTAAGAACTCCTGAATCAGCTTCGAAACCCTGAAGTGATGGGATCAAATTCAACATATCTGAAAGTGTGCGTTTGCGAGGTTTTCTATCATTTTTCGCAACATCAAGATTAGGGCTATGACATACTCCAGAATCTGGGGCCTGGGCTGGCAGAGAAAAAAAGTCCAGCAATATAAGACTCAGTAAAAAGTATAAATAGTACTAAATCAATATGTATAATGCAGTTTTCCATCTTAATAAAGATATCACAGAGAAAGTATCTTACATACGGGAGTTGTTGCACATGTTGATACGGAAACTCTGAAAGGTCCAGTTAAAGGCCCATTAGGTGAACTTTTGGACCCGTTGGGTCTCACACCTGGCCCAGAAACTCTGGGGCCAGTAGACCGGGTTGGAGATAACAGCCGGGATGATTTACTCCCATAAATTGCACTCTTTGGAGTTTCATTCAGAAATCTCAGCTGATCTTCGTCCATTGAAGTACCAGAACCATACTCAACTGACTGTGGAGACCTAAGAGAAGCCAAATCCTGATCAGACTTTGACACTGGTATTTTCTTCACAGAGGCACTCCTTC